CCATTCTCCTTCACTTTTGTAGGCTCTGGTCATTTTGACTTTTCCATAAGGCCACTTTGGTAACTTAACTCCTAGCTCAAATGTAACTTACTTTAATAAACCTTCCTACTACCCTAAGGACTCTGCTGAGTGACCTTTTCTTTTCTCCCCACAACATGTGTTGCAAGACCCCTGAGGACAGGCTCTGATCTGACCTGCATTTGTAAACCACTCCCCAGTGTCTAGAATGGTGTTTTACATGTAGTAGTTAATTTACTAAATATTTGTTGACTGAGTAAAATAATACATCAATGACTGAGTCTGGTTTAGACATACTAACTTTGATCTATCAAAGGGACAACCAGTAGAATTGTCCACCTCCCCGCTCAAGAAAGAGGTCAGGCCTACAGATGCACATTGGGCAAGTGTCATTGCCAGAGTGGTATCCGAAGCCATGGGGTTCAACAAACAGCATGTGCTGAGAGGAGCAAACAAACAAACAAAAGGTTAAAGTAGAATATTTCAGGGGTAAAAAAAAAAAATCAAAGGTGAAAAATCTCAGGAAAGCCGAAAAGAGAGCAATGGCAAATACCCCTGAAGGCATTATTGTTACAGAAAGACAGAAGAGGTTGAAGGCGTGAAGGCTGCCACTGCATGTGGTGATTCGAAGGTGCTTGGTGACCTAGCAAGTGAGGGTTAGGGCCAGAAGTGGGGATGGAGCTGAGGTATGAGTAAGAACAATAAAAAATGACAATTCTCTCAAGAAGTTTGACCAAAAAAGGAGATAGGATCATAGTTTCAAGGGAGTTTGGAAGCAGCTGTGAAGATAAAATAGCAGAGAAAAAGGTGGCTCAGCAGGTAAAGCATGATATGAGCATACGACTGCCATCGCTGCTGCCACTGAGCAACAAAACGGGGTGAGAGAGGTCACGGGCCCTGATCAAATTCTGTTGCTTATTCACCTGAGTGATCTTGGAAAAATCACTTCCCCCTCCCTTAACTGGCCTATCTGATTATTCTAATAGTATGAGTTAATAAGTGCAAAGGAATTTTAGAAGGGTTTACCACTTTCCATAAAGCTCTTATTATTGTAATAAATGGTTTGTAATCTTTAACAGATGTTTGCAATTTTTCACTCTCTCTCTCTTATTTTTCAATCGTCACCTGAGGATATATCAATTGATCCAGAATGGGAGAAGGGGAGAGACAGACAGACAGACAGACACAGGTAGACAGACAGAGAGAAGCATTGATGTGAGAGGAACACTGGTCATCATGTGCCTCCTGAATATGCCCCGACAGGGAACCGAACCCGCAACCCAGGCATGTGCCCTGATTGGGAATCCAACTCCTGACCTTCCTGTTTATGGGACAACGCTCCAACTGAGCCACACCAACCAGGGCTCATTTTTCATTTTTGCTCATTAGTGTGACATAGAGAAGCTGAAACTCCCTCGTATGTAACACTGATCTACTTATTCCAGTCCCAGCAAAGAGGAGTAAGACAATGACAAAGACAGAGAAAGGCTGGTTAAAGTCAGGGAATGAAAAGTTAAGGCAATGATGGCAACCCTTCCAACTCCTTTCTACAAATGCTGCAACTTTCCTAAACTGGAGGACATTAGTAAAGGGTTATCTTCCCCAGGTGGATGAAGAACTGCCAAAAGCTCGTATCAGAAGTGAGTGTGCCTGCTGCTTCTGTCAGTCTGGTCTGCCTTGGCAGGGACATTACGCTCACCTCAAGGTGTCAGGTCAGGGATAGGTTTCAGTAGAATCATCACTGACCTCATAACTGTCTTGAAAAATAAAATGAAATTGTGTATTTAAGTAAAGTTTTTGTAGCTCCTTGGTTATCTTGTTCTGGATCCCATCCCCCTGTGCCCCCCTCCCCCCTCCGCCCAAGGAAATGCTCCAAGCTCAGTGGTAATTTTCCACACTCAAACCATGTCATGGAGATTTTCCACCTCAAGGGGCGGCTGCCTCTGAATATTACCATGTCCAGGGTCAGTGTACACGCATTTGGTAGTTTCACTGTAAACATCTTTGCCACAATCACTTTCACCACACAACTAATTAACCATAAGGAAATTTCACCATAAAAGACAAAAGAACAAAAAATAAAAGGGAGACATTAAGAAGAACATAATGAAACATGAAAAAGTAATAAAATGAAAAAGCCTTTATTGCAGAAACTGAAAATACATTGTCTTCCAAGTCTTTTGTTCAAGTACATTTTTTTTTTTTTTGCTTGTTGATTTGTCTTCTCATTCAGCGTTACATTTTCTTTTTTCACTAAAGTTTCTTCCTTCATTAAGAGGGGTATCAGTTTCCAACTAAAGAATAAATAACTAATGTTCTCATTATGGTCAAAGACCATTATGAATTAGTAGCTGCCTCTTTTATGTTTTCCATAGCTTAGTAAACTTGGTGTGGATGGGTGGGGGGGATGATTATACACACCAAAAGATGCAAAAGCTGGTTTTATTTTCTAGCATAGTATGCAATCCTGCTAAGATTTATATAATATGAAAATGGGAATACTGCAAGAACTTTGTAAATGGAAAAATGAAACCAAACTGGCAACTAACTTAAATACATTGTCTGCTGAAGGCAGTTGATTCACCATGAAGAAATGAAACCAAACTGTCAACTAATTATTTTACCTTTTATGGTGGAATGGCCTTACTGCCAATGAGTTGTGTGGTGAAAATGTTTGCTGCAAAAATGCTCGTAAAAAAAGTGCTTGAGGCAAAGATGTTTACAGTGAAACCACATGAAACCCAGTGTAGTATTTCCTCAAAGCACTTGTGAGTGGAATACACTATTACACAAAAGGTGTATTTGCAATAGGAGGTATATTTGCAGATCACAGGTGGCATAGTAAGGTCATGGATGTTAACAAAAAGATATAGGGAGAAACTAGGCAGAAGTTTTCATTAAAGCAGTTCACAAATGACCTTCCTTCACGTGGTAGAATTTATTCTCTCATTCATTATTATCATTGGAAAGAAATGATAAACAGTGATTTAAATTGTGGAGTAATGCAAAAGTCACCTGCATTTATCTTTTAAGATGACTGTGTTTTTAAAACATCTTCCCAATTGTTTGGCTTAGGGTAACATTAACAGTAATTTTCATTCCATGAACATAGCTGGATAGACTATCCAGATGCCTCTTAGAGAAACTAACAAATTACTAGAGAAATCCACATGCAGAATGTTGATTGAATTTTTAAAAACTAAACTGTCTTTGTTGTCAGTATTTATATGGTTATAGGAAGACAAACAATATCAGTAAGTAAACCTAGTAGCGTTAAGGCATATTAGGGTGATATTGTAAGGGCTTAAATAAGTGGGATTCTGTGCAGAAGGCTCATTGCTTTTAATAAAAGTCAGTCTACTGAAATCAAGCAACATCATTAGGGTGATTACAGAGAAAACAGCATGTGTTACAAAGGAGGGAGATGATATAACAGACCAAATACATGACTCATTCATTAATGCTTTTATAATCTTCACGAATATACAAATGGCCCAACAGTAAATGCGGATGTATATGTGATGGAGGAGGGAGAATAGACAGTGAGACTAAAGGACTCTCGTTAGTACAACCGTCTTTGTTAATTCAACAAATATTTTCTGTGTGCCTACCAAGTGTGCCAAGCTCCGTTCTCTAGACTGAGGATACCACAGCAATCAAAACAGACAAAAATCCTTGCCCATGTGGAGCTTAGGATATAGTGGAGGATTTAAAACATGTGACTTTGAGCAAGACAGGTACTTGGGTGACTAAAAGGTTTGTTACAGAGAAATCAAGACAAGGAAGACTGCCAATACAAATTGAACACATACACACACACAGACAATACAAAATGGACATTGTTCATGACAGTGAAGCTGAATATATATGCAGAGAGCACTTCCTCATATTCTAAATTATTTTTGCTAAAATCAAACACCAGCAACTACTTTCCTCTGATGTAGCCTGATATTAGAGGAACCAAAAAAAAAAAAAAAAAAAAAATCTCAGACAATCAGTTACATGATGAACTGGGATGGAACCACACTGTGCAACCAACAAATGCATACCAACAGACTAGTTTCTGCTGAATAAAAATTTTAAAAATTAATGAACTAATTGATAAACTCTGTAATTTATCTGAAAATATATTCCAAAAATGGAAGAAAAGTATTAATTACATCAAAGAAGTTTTTGCAAGTTTGGAAACAGGATTACAGAGTAAATGTAGGCAGGTATTTCACATATTTAGGCCAATAATTCCCTGAAATGTGACTCTACCAGTTTTCCAGTCAGTGTAGTGTACATTTGCCACACTACTGAGCGATTTCAACTCTGATAAGAGATTGAGGGAATATTCCTGGCAAATAGACTGCACGTGTTGAGGGCGGCACATTAAATAAATGTATAAAAGCAAAGCAGACAAAAAGACATGCAGCCATAATTCATATGCCGGAATCAAACAAGGAGGGAGACAAAACTTGCAGTTGAAACGTTCCAGGTCACCAGTTCTGTCCACTGAAAAAGAAACACCTAAGAACTTCACCACTATCGAGAGGCTTCGAACACATACTCGGTCCCCCTGGTTTTAAATGACTGTCCACCAAGTAGTGACGGTTCCTTCTAGACCCATTCGAGACCCAGGGGTCGAATCCCTTAGCTTTAGATGGGTGGGACTGGCAAGTTCACCTAAGGCAAAGTAAGAGGAACAGGTCCTAAGCTCCAATTGAAAGCAAAACACAAAGTTTACGAGGGTGAAGGAAAGAAAGCGGAGAAACCACAGCAAATAAAATAAGAAATAGAAAAACTATACAACGTCAGAGAACCCACCGGGCCATCCCCACCACTCAAAAGGGTAGGACTAGAGAAGCCCTAAGGGCCGGGGATCTTCGAGCCTCGGAACTCAACAACCCGACCGAAGCAGGAGAGGGGGAGCAGTTCCCGGAAACCCCCTCCCACCAACCCCGCCCATTGGGTCCGCCCCGTCTTGCCAGGCTACTCACCGGACTTGCTTCCCACATAACGGTGGCGTAATAGAGCGGAGAGAGCCTGGGAAATGGGCTATCCGCGGGACACAGGTGTTGGTTTTTTCCAAGGGTGCCCAGGAACGAAGGGATGGAGAGGCAACCTTTACGCAGGCCTTCCTTCTCCCCGCCCTGTCACAAGCCAGCTTCTTTGAACTACCGAACCTCCCGACTTCCGCCCAAAGCGCCGGCCCCGGAAGCTCGTTCCCCCTCTGCCGCTGCCTTCCGGGCTCGGCTGGCGGGTCGTAATGGGAGGAGCTTGTGAGTATCTGGTTTGTAACAGAGTTAAAAGGGCTTGTAGTCCAGCCACACTTTTAGTGCTAAATTCCCAGAGCAACATCCCCATCAAATGATCCTCAAGCCACAGTTGGTTGTATTTCCTTGGATAATTACTGGTCACCGTATACTGAGTGTAGGGGCCAAGAGCCAGCCAAGCTTAGGAACTGATCCCAGTGCAACCAGTGATATTTGGGACAAGCTTCACCATCTAACTCTCAGTTTCCTCATCCTACGAATAGAGATAATACATCTTCAGTAAGTACTTAAGGGTTAGTAACATCATTTAAAGTACCTAGCACAGTATTTGGCATACAGCAAGAGCTCAGTGAGTGACAGGTGTTTGCCAGACACTGCTCTCCAGTGAACTAGATTGACCCAAGTGCAGTCCATGCCCTCGTGGAGCTTAGAGTCTAAAGAAAAGAGCAAAAAGTAAGTAACTTAAATAAATAAAAAGGTGCAGTATGGTGTATAGGAAGCATGGTAAGTACAGGGTTCTATGAGAGCATGCTTACCTATGAGTGGTGCCGGCTCCCATCCCCACCTCCCCACAAGAAGTTTAAGGATGTATTACTATTGAAGTTGACTGGGTAAAAGAGCTAAGAGAGAGGAAGAACCTTCTAGGCAAAAAGTAGAATCTACCCATTGGAAATGAAAAAGAAACAGTTTACTACAGAGTCTTCTGGGCTTTTCTACACCTTCATACATTTAAAAAAAATCATAGAATACCTACAGACTTAAAATATGACATTATTTTCACTTAATATGATGTAGTCTTTATTCCAATACATATAAATCTGTTTCATCATTGTAAAGTCATCATTTTAAAGACTCATGTCATTCCATAATTTGTATGTTACACACACACATTTGAAATAATCCATCATGATAGACATTTAAGTGGTTTTTAATTTTTTTACTGTTTCATAAAAGTGCAGCAGTAGACATTTTTGTACCAACATTTCTGTACATTTGTCCATCTACTTCCTTGGAATAAGTTATAAGAAATGGAAATTTCAAATTTTGATACATATTGCCAAACTACACTAAAAAATATTGTGTATGTATATTTTCAATCTCTATTCTTATAAATGAATTGAGATAGGGATCTTCATTTTACTTTTCATTTACTTTTTTCCAAATGTTAACCAGTTGTGCCAATATCACTTATTGAATAATCTGTTCTTTCCCCACTTTAAAGGGACACCATTAATGAAAAACTAAATTAGTGTGTATCTGTTTCTGAACATTCATCTATTCTGTAGCTCTCTGCTAACTCCTGTACTGTGCCACGCTTATAACTTGGTAATATATTTGCTCTTTCATAAAGCAAGTCTCCCCCTAATGCTATTGCAAATTTTTCAAAATCATGAGTCTTCTTATTAGGGAATACATCTCTTCATGTATTTACGTATTTTATATGTTTAAATATGCAAAAAAAGCTTTCATGTAGATTTGCACAATTCTTGTGAAGCTTGTCCCTAGATGTTTTATAGGGTTTTTTTGTTATTGTCAATAAGGAAAACTATTGATTTTTGTGTAATCTTGTATCCCACCATACTGTGAAAATGTCTTATGAGTCCTAGTAGCTTGTCAGTTGATGCTTCTGAATTTTTTGTCAATAATCACATCACCTACATAGAATGCAGTTTTCTATCTTCCTATTGCATTGGCCAAAACCTCAGAAAATTTTTGAAGAATGCAGGACAAGATAATGGGCAGTCAGTCTTTAATGCAGTAAGACGGGCGTTTGCCCCTAGTTAGTGCTAGATATTCTTTAAATTCACCCTCACCTTTAAAGAAATTTTCTTCCATTCCTAGTTTCTTATTAGCTTTTAATTAGTAAAGGACGTTAAATTTAATCAACTTTCTCATAAACTCTATTACTGTATTTTTTACTCTGACTTATTAATATAATGAAAATGTTTCCTAATGTTCAACCCATCCTTACATTCTTGAAGTAAACTCTCCTTCATCATGTAGTCATTATATTTGAATACACTCCTGGCTTCAATTTGTTAATCTTTTATTTAGGATTACAATTTATTTATAATTAATGAAATTGGTCCATTGTTAGTGGTATTTTTTATGATTGTCTTTAGCAAGGTTTGTTAAGTGAACAGTAACAGTTTAAGTAATTTAAGAATTAGCTCTTCATCAAAGGTGGAGTGCATTTTTACAAAAAAAGTTTCACCGGAAAGATTAGGACCAGGTCCTCAGCCTTGTGTGGTTGGGCCTATGCTTCATTTCCCTGAAGACTTGTGGTTGCCTGAGCTGGTGGTCAGAGGATGGGATGGAGAGAACGTAGCTGGTCTGGATACATGTCAGGTGGATAACCTTTTAAAATATACTGCTATATCACAAAGCAACATGGAGGAAACATATTTCATAAACTGAAAATAGATGTGCAAATTTTTGACAATTGTTTCTTTATTATTCTTAATTTAAAACCACTAAGAGAGCAAATGTGGGAATGGGTCTTAATGATAATTTAGGCCTGGGGTCACAAACTGTTAGCTAACAGAGTAAAAAATACAGTAATAGAGTTTATGAGAAAGTTGATTAAATTTAACGTCCTTTACTAATTAAAAGCTACTAATAAACTAGGAATGGAAGAGCTGTAGGACACACAAAGTATTTTTTTAAAATTTTTAACTGGAAAATTTCACATTAAACAATATGGATCTCCAGCTTCCCTTAGACACTGTAGTCGCACATGCCAACAGGTGGACAATTCCTGCGGACTCATGTAGACTGGGAATGAATGGGCTCTCACGTGTACTTGAGTTAGCAGGCCATTATTACTCATCCTCATTCAAATGACCCATGTGTGGGTCTTATGTATTTGGGTTTGTATTAAGTATAATCCGCCTCTTATTTTGCTGAGGAAATGTAATGCATCCAGACCTTATAAATATCCTTATAGAAAACACCTTCACAGCGCTCTCTCATACCTTTCTCAAGGGTGGACTCTATCATCTGGGCTCAGCCTCTCGGTCTTTCTGTAGATTCTCTGCATGTAATGCCTGAAATATTGCCTATTACATAGAGTCTGGCACTAGGAATGCTTCCCTCTGCATCATAGTTCTGGGCAGTGTGCTACAGAGTAGAAACTATGTGCACTGACCACGGTCTCACTAGTTTTATTGGGAAGACCAAACAAATGGAAGACATTTTACTTTCTCTCTCCTGTTTTCTATGTGTACTCTGGGTGGAGATGTTTCAAACCCTGCTAAACCCAGCTCTAGGAGTCTGGGTGATGGCAGCCCCGCTCCCACCTGGTGGAGCTTATTAGATCTTTGATTGCCAGGAGGGGGTGGGAGAGAATGCCCCAGGGGAAAGGAGAGAGAAGAAGATGAGCAGAGAAGAATGATCACTGGAAAGCATGCACATAATCAGAAAACAGGGTGGATGGGACCGGGGGGGTGGGGAAGAGCGGGAATTGATCTCTTGTGAAGATAATAGAAGGAGAAAAGAAAAGTAAGTGATGAGATGCAGGATATAGTACATATTATTTCAATGTTAATTTCATAACTTTTAATTTTTAAAGGCCACATTTACAGACAGAAATGGAATACTAGGAATGCATATGGAAGACAGGCTAGATTTGACATAAAGGAGGAGCAGGAGACCAGAAGAAAGCGCAAAAGGAGAGAAGGGGTACAGGAGTAAGGGAGAAAAAAAGCTTCATTGTGCCCATCAACCTTGAATATAAAGACCTAGCCTCAGTCTGAAACAGAGCCAGCAGTGAGGCAGCCTCAGAATCAGCCCTGCCGCTGAGGTCTGACATGTGAACAACCCAGGAGGAATTAAAGAGGTAAAATCAGCAGATGAAACACTTGCTGAAGCCGAGATAAGCATTCCTGGGAAGGAATTTTTTAAAAAATCAAAATGAGTCCTGTAAATCTTCCTAGTTAGGGAACATGACAAGAAACTAAATTCAACACCGCCCCCCCCAAAAAAAGATGAAGTGCTGAATAACTCACCCACACTAAATGGAAAGGCTCTATTGAAAATACCACTGATTATTAGTTTTAGCTGCTCAGGGAAATTATCTAGGCACAATGATGGGCATCAACATGCAGCTCACAGCAGCAGTCAAAAGCAGCAGCTGAGATGTGTGGCCATCCTAATTAGAGGATGGAGAATTCTGAAAAGGCTCTGGAGCTGTGACGTTCCTGGCTGAGGCTTTCCTTCTAGGAATGCCACATTAGGGTTTTGGTCACCACACTGTAAAAAGGGACTTAATAGGAATGGTCTGAAAAAGGACACAACTGACTTAGAAAAGGGTGAGAGAAGCTGTGAGGCTAAAAGCAGAAAGCAGGGGAAACACTTCCATAAGAAATCATTTTCAAAATTAAGAGATAGGGAGGCAAGTAAAAGCCTGAGGTGGTGGAAAGGGCAGCCGATGGGGTACTGTTTGCACTTGGGTCGCTCCAGAATTTCAGGTCGTGGCCTGTTCCTTGCGAGTACATCCAGGAGGTTAAGAAATTACAGCAGATTATCTAGAATGAATTGTTCTTCCACTCTTCATTCTACAAATATTTAGCAAGCACCCTCCATGTTCCAGGCACTGTCTCTAGCCTCTTAGGATAGGTCAGCAAAGAAGATAGAGGAAAATTCCTGCCCTTGTGGAATTTATTATGCTGGGCGGTGGGGGTGCAAAGGCCCTGGGCTGGGACCGGGTGAGGGGACAGATAACGCAATGTAACAAACATCGTATAGATGCTATAAGGTAATAAGAACTATAGAAAAAACATAGATCAGAGTAAAGGATATTGAGATTAGCCGGGATGGTCCTCATTGATCAAGTAGCATTTGAAGTAAAACCTGGAGGAAGTAAGAGAGCAAGCTTAATGGATATCTGGGCAAAGAGTGTTCCATGCAGAGGAAACAGCTGGTACGAG